TACCAGATATGGATAATCTTCTACTGAGAGCAATGTTTATCCATAACGGAGTATTGAATGAATAAGCTTATTATACCCGGTATGGATAATCTTCTACCTAGGGTAATGTTTATCCATAACCGGGTACCGAAGTGATAAGCTTCTTCAGGAAGCTTATTTCCAATAGAGTACTAAATAGATAAACATATTTACGGTGGAGTCCCATAGGGATATGCTTCTTCAGGAAGATTATTTACAACAGAGTACTAAATGAACATCCATAATATAATATATTTATAACATACTCCTATTTCTTTCTGGAGCAACTAGCGATAATGAGAGGGGATTGAGCTAACTGTGAAAAGAATGAGTTTAGACTGGTTAAAAAGCAAAATGCAAAAAAAAGGCAACAAAAACAAACAACACTGGCTACACATGATTATTCAAAAAGAATGATGAGGTGCATCCGGTTAAACAAAGGAGCAGCATCCGGTTAGAAAGCGGGTCGGAAGGGTTTAATTTAATTTAATCAAAATACCCAAAGCTATAGTTTGACGTAGGGGTGGGAATCGGTCGGTTCGGTTCGGTTATGAATATTATCGGTTTAGTATATCGGTTATCGGTTTACAAATTTAATAAACCGATAACCGAACCGATAAGATATCGGTTATCGATTAATCGATTATCGATCATTATCGGTTCGATTATTGGTTTACCCGATAAGATAACTCAATCTGGAGTTAAGCAAAAAAGAGAAGACAATTCGCTGGAGTTAAGCAAAAAAGAAAAGAATTCACATATAGTATACTACCCATTTCTGCGTTATATCTAGTGGCCACAATTGGAATAGTACTAATTCTTCAACAATAGTTGTCCAAATACATTAATAATAATACAAAGTAGTAGCAATTTTACCTTAAAATTAACAAGTCCAAACATATAGTACTGACAATCCAACACATAAATTGGATGTTGTTTGTCAAATGTCTAACCTGGAAAAAAGAAATCATAGAGCAAAACCTTGATATGTGCATGGGCAATACTAACACAGAAATGAAAAACACCTAGAAGGCAGCTGTATAAAAGAATAATGTTAAAAAATATACCTGAAACTGACGAAGATTGTCGATTAAGAATTGATAAGTGCGAAGAGAAATTGGTAGTAGGTATAGGCTGCACAACGTGAGCTCACAAAATTAAGAAACAAAAATTAAAAAAAAAAATAAAGAATCATTATTAGTCAAAAATACCAATATGAAGATGAATTTTGTTATAGAAATTAAAAGCCTAATGTATAAGACTAAAGACTTAAACTAGGAGTAACTAGTAAGGTCTACGAAGAATGAAGATGAAGCAACTGAAGAGTGCGGCTGAGAAAGAATAGGAGAGAATGAACTGAAGCCCTAGCATATCTATATAGTTAAGGGTAAAGTTGCAATTTTATTAATTGTTATTGGGTTATCGGTTAACTCATTAATAAAATTGGCAAACCGAGGCCCGAACCGATAACTCAATAGTGAAAAAAATTTTAAACTGTTATCGAATTGTTAACCCAATAACCCGATACCGATAACCCAATAAAAACTTAACGGTTCGGGTTATCGGTTTTACCCAATATATACCCAGCCCTATTTCGACGCGTGCTGCACGCTTTCTTCCAGGTACGAAGCTACCTAGCTCTGCTTTTGGGTTGCACTATTGTCTCGCTTTCCTCTGTTTTGTTTGATCTCAAGTTTCTCCTTTCCTCTTTGACGATTTCTCAAGTTATTTGCTTTTAGTTTGCCGTGTGATATATAGTAAAGGTATGATTAACGCCATTATTTAGATTTAAGATTTAGTGGGTTTTAAATTTGAACAATGTTTGTTTCTCATGTTTTGAATTGAACTTGGATAGAAGATTTAGACTACTTCTATGTCAAATTTTAAGCTAATTGGTATCTGTTGTTGCGCTTACTGTTCTGTACTTACTCTTAATTTTCATCTATTCGACCTATGTCGAAGTGCAGTAAAAACAGATTTGAGTCTGTTCTTATAAAAATTGCCTTTGCGTTTGCATTAGAAGTGTTTGTGAAATTGCCTGAAAGAAACTACGATTGACCTAAACTTCTTTTTAATATGTTGTTTCAAGACATCTTAACTCACAGTTTCAAATTATATGCTAAAAGATCATATCTACATTTGTTCAGTTAAAGGATTCGTGCACTAGCAAAAAGTTGATCATTTATTGTTCTTGTACATTAGCCTGCAATATGTCACCAACTTCAACTTGTGGGTCCTATTCATGGTTGGAAAGATTGAGAAATCTACACTAAGATAAGTTTACTTGGATAAAAGTGATTTAAAGACTAGCTAGAGATTGAAGTAGCTTCCTGTCAAAAATTATAAAATTGGTACCTGATAATTTCGTTGATCATAAATGATTAGTTGGCAATCAATTGGAAGTGTTTACATGTCTCCCCCATCCTCTATTGTGTTTGATTTGATGAAACTTTGTAGCTATTTCTCCAGGAAGCTAGAAATATTTGACTGGCTATTTTTAATCTGCAGAATGTTTCCTTCTCATGTTCTGAACTTGGATAAAATATTTAGACTACTTTTGTCTAAAATATTTAGCTAATTGGTGATATATTATTGTGCTCGCTTTTGTGCGTCTTTCAGATTGCTCCTTCAAGTTGCTCTTCCTGAGCTAAGTTTTAATTTTCATCTGTTCTGCTTCTATCGAAGTGCAGTAAGAACAGATTTGAGTTTGTTGTTACATAAACTGCATTGGGTTCGTAGTAGAAGTGTTTGTGAAATTGCCTGAAAGGAATTACGACGGACATAAAAAATTCGACAGCTCTTTCTTTAAAGTTGTCTGCTAATTTATGGTAGTTTTACTCATACGACACGTTAACATCAATACTAATGGATATTGATGTTTTAGCATACTATAAAATACTGAAAAAGAAACCCAAAACAAGAAAAACTTCTGCCAATGAGGTTAAGATTCTGAATACCTGGTACAAAAACTGAAAAGTAATTGATGGAAATGAGCAAAACAATGAATTAGGAGGACTGTTTACTAATTTTTGTTCACAAATGAAAGCAACAGAAAACCAGAGCAGCAACATCAAATTTTGATATCCTTTAAAAAAATTCAAATATTGGCGTCATGCTAAAAAGTGTTCAACATTGTGAAAAGTTCACATTGGAATATGGTTCTATCGTTCAAGGGATGAAACTTATTATAATTTTCAACTATTAAATAGAACAAGTAGGATAAAAGCGAATTGGTGATAAGGATTTGAATCGTTTCTAATAATTATGAAGCAATTCCCTAACTTGTTCTAAAATATTGGATAAGGATTTTCAATATAGAATGTGTTAAGCATACTTTTTTGACAGAAACAAAAAGGAGAAGACTGACCTTGGGAATTGCTAATTAGCTCAAAATGTTATTTAACATGCTCTTGTAGCTCTTCTGTAATGATGAATAGTACCTAAAATTTTAATTAAAAAAAATTAGGTGTATGTTGACTGCTTCCGGAATATACATATCACAACAAGGAATAAGTAAAATTAAAATGGAGATGATGGTAATTTAAAAGTTGTAGATAATAAAATCGATTCAAGAATTCGTATCGTATTTTGTCATACAGTAAACTTTTAGCGATGAAAATAATATTTCCATTCCACTTTCTGACTACTGCTTAAACTTCAGAAGACATCTATGAAATTATTTTTCTTTGCAAAATAATTACTTCTGTGTAATTCTCATTACTTAACAGACATAGATTCACTTTGTCTATGTCGTTAATTTGTGTTTGACCAACTACAGTATTGGTTAAAGCAGCTTATTAGATAGACAACTCATTGAATTACATGTCTTGTTATACGTTCCTATGTTTGTTTATGCTTAGTTGTTATTTGTACTATGATATCCTATTTTACAATGTCAAATAGTTTTGCTTTCACTGATTGTTACCTAATTATTGCTTCCTCGACATCTTCTACTGTTTGATGAGGAAAATTTAATTATAATGTTGTAGGAAAACGTGTAGGTCACCTACAATATCGACAGTTGTAAAAAAAATACATTAATGAATAGTCGACAGTCAAAAAAAGGTCCTCGCTCAGTGACAGAAGCTGATGATAAGAATGCCAAACACCGTAAAATAGATGTTAGGGTAGTAGCCACTGAGAAAGAAAAAATGATTTTCCAACGACGCCTAAAAAATTGTCAAACAACAACTAATCGTCTTCTTGCAAATGCAAATCACGTGAATCCCGTTGGAACATCATCTAAATTACAGGATGATCTTACTATTGGAGCTTCTTGTTCTTCTTCAAAATTAGGTTACAGCAAATCTCCTATACTTTTATTGCTTCCTTTTTTTTCATTTTGTACTATATACATGTACAATGATTAGCATGTCATTCTCATCATGCAGTTACTGAGCGTGCAACTTTTTCCTCATTGGATGTCTTTCGTAGCAAGAAAGATGTGATTCATCCTTTCCATGTTTTTGAAAAAGGTAGGACCACAGAGATGTAATGTGTATTTAAGTTCCCGTGTGAATTGTGCACATTAATTAATCGAACAACTGTGATGAATCAGGCTCGACATCGGGTATAGCAAATGATTTATGTACTCCAATCTTGGATACACCTACAACTAAAGGTTAGTATGACCATCATCCTTTACTAATTTTACCATTTGTTCTGTTTTCGTTCCTTAGAATTGTCTCCACTATGCAGGTTGTCTAAAGAATAAAAAAACTATAATTAACATTAAATAATTACGCCCAGACTATATTCTGTTAAAAAATTTGAGTATGAACATCCTGTATTTTGTTGTGGCAGTGGTACAGTGAGGTTCACCTCTCATTGAAAGTCAACTAAACTGAGAAATTTATACATGGCGAACAATGCAGAATTCAAGCACTTCCAGACGTACATTAGAATATGAAATAACCTGTTTGCCATTACATCACTTGGTGTCAATTATGACAAAGATTTAAAACGTCAAACCTCATGTGAACATAAAACAGGAGAAATTAAAGATGAAGTTCGAAAGTTTTTGTATTCTTCTTTTTTTTTAAAGAAATTCCACCGTACGGTCCTTCTGTATCATTCATGCCATACGGGTCTAAGCTTCAAGCTATTACTTTTGAGATCTTAAATTTAAATAGTTTTTTGGTGCCTATTAATGCTTTACTATGTTCCTTTAAGCATCTCGCCTACTCTGTTAGGCAGCTACTACTTGTCGCGCCCCCTTTTTTCCCTCTTTGCATCGGAAAATCGGGTTTATGACATTTTTGGGTGTAGGACAACTCATTCCTTTTGGGAACTGGGTTTTGCATTTGAAGAGTCGCCACCTAATGAGTTAAGGTGCATTAGGACACCTATAAAGTTTATTTCTAAGTTTCACTGCTACAAAATAGACTTTTAATGGCAATTAATTAGCGGCAATAGAATAATGGCCACTAAATAAATTTATAAACGAAAAAATTAGTGGCAAATAAGCATCAGCTGTTATTAAGCACCTTTTAGTGGCAATAAAAAGGAATAGCCACAATAAAAAGTACTCTAGTATTATTTTTACCTTCCCTCCAAATTTTTAGACTAAAATAACATATTCCTTCCAGTTCCTTCCGCCTAAGTTGGGAAATTTTAGGAAAATCTTTTAGAAATATACAAATCTCTCATCCCCTGTAATTCTCATCATTGTTGCCTTATCGCCGAACTTCTGTCTCACCGCAGCGTGACCATTCTCAGGTACTATATTTTAGAAAATATCTTTTTATTACTTCTCCATCTCTTCTCCGTCTTTTCTTTGCTCCAAAATATTTTTTGTAGATTTTGGATGGGAGATAGGTGTCAAATTATTTTATTTTGGTTGTTGTTAGAACGTGTAGTGTTTCCGGATGTCTTATACCCTTTGGCAAACCTTAAATTGAAATCAAAGTTATACAATTTAAGGATAAACACCAGTTTGAAGAAGTTGGCTAAACTTATCCTTTCCCTGCCCATCTTCCGCTACGCTACCGAGAGTGATTAGGAAGAGAATTTTGTTCCTTTTATTTGGCAAATATTTTATTTTCAAAGATGTTTTAATCATATTGCATATCGTGATTAGTAGTGTGTTCTTTCATTCAGCCTTTATCCTTGTAGGTTTTGATTGGAGTTAACACAATAATAAAAAGGGCATCTTTTACAAATAAATATTACTTTTTACTTTTTTGTAAATTAAGTTCCTAGTACTAGAATCTGAATCAGTTATAGTTTTATAAAACTTAAATTTTCTATTTAATATAGTGATATGTGATAAGTAGAAAATAATAGACCAAATTTGATTTTCCTTTCCATGGCACTCTCTGCAGCTTTCTTGAAGATCATGAATGGTTTGTCCCTAGGCCAATTAGACCTCGAGACATTTTTGATATGGAAGAAGAAAATAATATACATTTTGAGTTATCAATGCAAAGTGATGTCAATGACTTGACTCTCTTAGAATATATTTGTGATTCAGAATATGAGTATAATGATTGGGTGAGAAGTGGTGTTGATGGGATAGTAATTGATATTAACCAACATTCTCTTATTCCTCTCAGTGAAAGTGAAGAAAATGTTGACGGAGGAAATGATATTGCAAATGAAAGCGATTCTGAATAAGATAGATCGTAGTTATACTTTTCTTGCAGGTGTTATTAAACTACTTAATAGGGATTTTTTTGATTCAGAACATTGAATAAGATATCTTTTTTGCTTTCAATTTTGGTCACATTCTATAGAAGTTGCATATCAGCCAGCTTGCTTATCCGTATTTGTATTGGTGGATTATCTAACATTTTAGTAAATTCTCTATGCTTTATTTTACTTCTATTTTGTTTATGTAGCCGTTGTATTGTGATATGCTAAGGTGTTCTTATAATTAAATATAAAATTTTGTTGTCAGGTGCCACAATATCTAACCTGTTTTGTTGATGTGTCTTTATTTGTATAAGTAATATGACTTTCATATATTATTGCGGCTAAATAATTATTCATTTTGGAGAAGAAACAATGCAAACCAGAGGTGGCAAGCGAATGGTTATTGAAGAGCAATGTGATGATGAAGGTGTGCGGTCTTATATTGAACAACTGATGGATGATCAAAACTACTTTCAAGCCCAAACACATGATGGTCAATCTAATGAACTGAATAATTCGGCTGACATCGGAGTTCATCAGAATGATGACTCAGGTAACATTTTTTTTGATACCTGTTAGTTTTGAAATACCTTAAGATGTTAGGTTTGATATCACTAATTAGTTTGTTCCTTATGAATCGTAATATTTTAATGGATAATAAAAGTTACTTTAGTATATGTGATCAAAAGTGCATTGACTTTTCATTCGTATAACCTTTTAGAAGCAAATAAATCAGATATTTTCAGTTACTTGAATGTTATAGAAGCAGATACATTAATTATCGCAGATTTTTTAACCTAAAATTCAATAGAAAAATAGAAGAAGAGATTAATAAGACTTAACTTCAATATATTAATAATTCGATAATTGACCAATTTTGGCATCAGCTAACGTGATCTCTAAGAATTGAAAGGACTCCAACTAGTTATATTATCGTCTGACGGATTGCATAGTCTTATGTTAAAGGGTAGCTCCTTGATGTTATCTACTTTCATTTACACCTATTAAATGAGTAACAATTCTGTAAATGCTACATTTGGTCAGTATAATTTGTTGAATGATATTTAGTTTTCATATTACTTACAAGAATCTGGTGACTTCTTATTTAATTTTTTGTAAATACCATTAGTGACTTCTCATTGAAAGGTGAAGTGTTTCTTCTTCAGTCCTATTATGTTGGTTCCTAAGAGTTTTTTTAACTTAGTAAAATACTATTTTACTATCATGAAAAAGACATGAAGCTAACAAAGTTATATAAGGCAACAAAATTATGAAACCAACTGAAATGTGATCAAGCAATAAGTCGCTTACTTTTTTCAAAATCATTAATCAATTTCTCAATAGTGTGAAATGAACTTCATAGTTGATATCTCCTTCCTAGAGTACTGTTTATTAAGAGTAGGCATCTGTGTGGATTTCATGACCTTTGAATCTTTTCCATGTTAGATAATTCAGAGGCAAGGAAGGTTTGTGGGCCTACATTACTAAAAAAAATTTGGAAGATGCCTCCAGGGAAGACAATTGATGTGCAGTTCAATAGTCGTAACAATTCATTGGGAAAGCGGGTAGAAAGCTAGCAAGCTTTCTAGGGATTGTCGCTAGAACTCGAGAACTAACTCCATTACATGTAAATGATTGGAGAAGTTTTGGCAAGGATGAAAAGAACAAATTGGTGGAATTTGTGAGGGTATGGTACTATTATTCTTATTCTTCTTATATGAATATCATAATATGGATTTCTTTATACATGATATTTTCTTGTAAACGTTTGCTTATATTTTTGTAGAAGAAGTTCTCTATCCCAACGCGCGGAGAAAAGCATGTGATAAACTCACTAGGAAAGAAATAGAAAGATTATAAGTGTGATTTAAAAAGTGAGTATACATCTAAGTATAAGACAAAAGATGCTCTACTGAAAAATAGACCAAGTCGTATACCCAGGGATCAGTAGACTGGTCTCGTCTCATATTGGCTCTCTGATAAAGCTAAGGTATCTGCTTTTATAAGTCCTAAAAATACACTTAGTTGATTGCTTTTGATTTTTTCTTGGTTAGTTTTTATGTATAAATTATAAGATATTATTTTTATGTTGCAACGATAGAGGCGAACACAAGCAAATAGAAATAATAGGGCCAAGCAAAATATGCCTCACACTGGAGGATCCAAAAGTATTGCCACCTTGATGGCTGAGAAGGTATCCATATGAAAATTAAAAAAAATATTATATTTTAAAAACTCTTTATCATGAATATGTGACATTGATTTTGTCGTATTAGGCTGAAAATGGGATAGAGCCTACACGAGCACAATTTTTATTTTAACTCATAAACAACGTAAGGATGGTCGACCACTTGATGAGGAGTCTGCAAAGACAATTGTAAGATTTCTTCTCAATCTCTTATTTTTCGAATTTCTTCTATTTTTTTAATTAAATCCAGGTTCACCAATATTATTTGCGTCTTCAGTTCCTCAAAAATACCTGTGATGACCCAAAAGGTCATCACTTGTTTTTAAATTGAATTCTACGTTTCGAGGCCTTAACACCTCATTTAGCATTACCTCGATTTGCGTGCGCAGTCCGAGTACGTAGCCGGAAAGCCTATATGTGAAAATCTGTGAAAAATGATAAATTTTGACTATAAGATGAGTTAATTTGACTTCGGTCAATATTTTGGGTAAACGGACTCGGACCCATGATATGACGGTCCCGGAGAGTCCGTAGGAAAATGTGGGACTTGGGCGTATACCCCGAATCGAATTCCGAGGTCCCAAGCCCGAGAAATGAATTTTTAAAGAAAATTATTTTCTGAAATTGTTTAAAGGATTTGGAAATGAATTTTGATCAGAACATGTTGGTATCGGGCCCGTATTTTGGTTCCGGCACCCGGTACAGGTCTTATTTGTGATTTAAGATAATTCTGCGAAGTTTGGTAAGAAACAGAATCCGTTTGACGTGATTCGGAGCTTAATTGCAAAATTTGATGTTTTAAGAAGTTTGAAACAATTCTTTGATTTTTGAGGTTTAATTCGATGTTAATGATGTTATTTTGGCGATTTGATCGCATGGATAAGTTCATATAGTGTTTTTAAGTTAGTACGTATGTTTGGTTTGGAGCCCCGGGCTCGGGTGAGTTTCGGAAGGTTTTTAGAACTCAAAAGTTGCAGATTTTTCCAGTTTCTAGTGTGCTGATACTTTCTTCTTCGCGTTCGCGGGAGGACCCTCGCGAACGCGATGTATTATTTATGCGGAAGGAAAATTCCTTCTACGCGAACGCGTAACCCAGGTCGCGAACGCGAA